TTTTATTTGTGTACTCTCCCTATCTCTAACTTTTTTTCTGTGTGCTCTCCCTATCTCTAACTTATGTTTCTGTGTACTCTCCATATCCTTAACTTTTATTTGTGTACTCTCCCTATCTCTAACTTATGTTTCTGTGTACTCTCCCTATCTCTAACTTATGTTTTTGTGTACTCTCCATATCTATAACTTTTATTTCTGTGTACTCCACCTATCTCTTACTTATGTTTCTGTGTACTCTCCATACCTTAACTTTTATTTCTGTGTACTCTCCATATCTTTAACTTTTATTTCTGTGTACTCTCCCTATCTCTAACTTATGTTTCTGTGTACTCCCCCTATCTCTAACATATGTTTTTGTGTACTCTCCCTATCTCTAACTTATGTTTCTGTGTACTCTCCATATACTTAACTTCATTTGTGTATTCCACCTATCTCTAACTTATGTTTCTGTGTACTCTCCATATCTCTAACTTATGTTTCTGTGTACTCCCCCTATCTCTAACTTATGTTACCGTGTACTCCCCCTATCTCTAACGTATGTTACTGTGTACTCTCCCTATCTCTAACTTATGTTTCTGTGTACTCCCCCTATCTCTAACATATGTTACTGTGTACTCTCCCTATCTCTAACTTATGTTACTGTGTACTCTCCCTATCTCTAACTTTTTTTTCTGTGTACTCTCCCTATCTCTAACTTATGTTATTGTGTGCTCTCCCTATCTCTAACTTATGTTTCTGTGTACTCTCCATATCCTTAACTTTTATTTGTGTAATCTCCATATCTCTAACTTAAGTTACTGTGTACTCTCCCTATCTCTAACTTATGTTTCTGTGTACTCTCCATATCTTTAACTTTTATTTCTGTGTACGCTCCCTATCTCTAACTTATGTTTCTGTGTACTCTCCCTATCTCTAACTTTTATTTCTGTGTACTCTCCCTATCTCTAACTTATGTTTCTGTGTATTCCCCCTATCTCTCACTTATGTTACTGTGTACTCTCCCTATCTCTAACTTATGTTACTGTGTACTCTCCATATCTTTAACTTTTATTTGTGTACTCTCCCTATCTCTAACTTCTTTTCTGTGTGCGCTCCCTATCTCTAACTTATGTTTCTGTGTACTCTCCCTATCTCTAACTTATGTTTCTGTGTACTCTCCATATCCTTAACTTTTATTTCTGTGTACTCTCCCTATCTCTAACTTATGTTACTGTGTACTCTCCATATCCTTAACTTTTATTTCTGTGTACTCTCCCTATCTCTAACTTATGTTACTGTGTACTCCACCTCTCTCTAACTTATGTTACTGTGTACTCTCCCTATCTCTAACTTATGTTTCTGTGTACTCTCCATATCTTTAACTTTTATTTCTGTGTACTCTCCCTATCTCTAAATTATGTTTCTGTGTATTCCCCCTATCTCTCACTTATGTTACTGTGTACTCTCCCTATCTCTAACTTATGTTACTGTGTAGTCTCCATATCTTTAACTTTTATTTGTGTACTCTCCCTATCTCTAACTTTTTTTTCTGTGTGCTCTCCCTATCTCTAACTTATGTTTCTGTGTACTCTCCCTATCTCTAACTTATGTTACTGTGTACTCTCCCTATCTCTAACTTATGTTTCTGTGTACTCTCCATATCCTTAACTTGTATATGTGTACTCTCCCTATCTCTAACTTATGTTTCTGTGTACTCTCCATATACTTAACTTCATTTGTGTATTCCACCTATCTCTAACTTATGTTTCTGTGTACTCTCCATATCTCTGACTTATGTTTCTGTGTACTCCCCCTATCTCTAACTTATGTTACCGTGTACTCCCCCTATCTCTAACTTATGTTACTGTGTACTCTCCCTATCTCTAACTTATGTTTCTGTGTACTCCCCCTATCTCTAACATATGTTACTGTGTACTCTCCCTATCTCTAACTTATGTTACTGTGTACTCTCCCTATCTCTAACTTTTTTTTCTGTGTACTCTCCCTATCTCTAACTTATGTTATTGTGTGCTCTCCCTATCTCTAACTTATGTTTCTGTGTACTCTCCATATCCTTAACTTTTATTTGTGTAATCTCCATATCTCTAACTTAAGTTACTGTGTACTCTCCCTATCTCTAACTTATGTTTCTGTGTACTCTCCATATCTTTAACTTTTATTTCTGTGTACGCTCCCTATCTCTAACTTATGTTTCTGTGTACTCTCCCTATCTCTAACTTTTATTTCTGTGTACTCTCCCTATCTCTAACTTATGTTTCTGTGTATTCCCCCTATCTCTCACTTATGTTACTGTGTACTCTCCCTATCTCTAACTTATGTTACTGTGTACTCTCCATATCTTTAACTTTTATTTGTGTACTCTCCCTATCTCTAACTTTTTTTCTGTGTGCGCTCCCTATCTCTAACTTATGTTTCTGTGTACTCTCCCTATCTCTAACTTATGTTTCTGTGTACTCTCCATATCCTTAACTTTTATTTCTGTGTACTCTCCCTATCTCTAACTTATGTTACTGTGTACTCCCCCTATCTCTAACTTATGTTACTGTGCACTCTCCCTATCTCTAACTTATGTTTCTGTGTACTCTCCATATCCTTAACTTTTATTTGTGTACTCTCCCTATCTCTAACTTATGTTTCTGTGTACTCTCCCTATCTCTAACTTATGTTTTTGTGTACTCTCCATATCTGTAACTTTTATTTCTGTGTACTCCACCTATCTCTTACTTATGTTTCTGTGTACTCTCCATATCTTTAACTTTTATTTCTGTGTACTCTCCCCATCTCTAACTTTTATTTCTGTGTACTCTCCCTATTTCTAACTTATGTTACTGTGTACTCCCCCTCTCTCTAACTTATGTTACTGTGTACTCTCCCTATCTCTAACTTATGTTTCTGTGTACTCTCCATATCTTTAACTTTTATTTCTGTGTACTCTCCCTATCTCTAAATTATGTTTCTGTGTATTCCCCCTATCTCTCACTTATGTTACTGTGTACTCTCCCTATCTCTAACTTATGTTACTGTGTAGTCTCCATATCTTTAACTTTTATTTGTGTACTCTCCCTATCTCTAACTTTTTTTTCTGTGTGCTCTCCCTATCTCTAACTTATGTTTCTGTGTACTCTCCATATCCTTAACTTTTATTTCTGTGTACTCTCCCTATCTCTAACTTATGTTACTGTGTACTCCCCCTCTCTCTAACTTATGTTACTGTGTACTCTCCCTATCTCTAACTTATGTTTCTGTGTACTCTCCATATCTTTAACTTTTATTTCTGTGTACTCTCCCTATCTCTAAATTATGTTTCTGTGTATTCCCCCTATCTCTCACTTATGTTACTGTGTACTCTCCCTATCTCTAACTTATGTTACTGTGTAGTCTCCATATCTTTAACTTTTATTTGTGTACTCTCCCTATCTCTAACTTTTTTTTCTGTGTGCTCTCCCTATCTCTAACTTATGTTTCTGTGTACTCTCCCTATCTCTAACTTATGTTACTGTGTACTCTCCCTATCTCTAACTTATGTTTCTGTGTACTCTCCATATCCTTAACTTTTATATGTGTACTCTCCCTATCTCTAACTTATGTTACTGTGTACTCCCCCTATCTCTAACTTATGTTACTGTGTACTCTCCCTATCTCTAACTTATGTTTCTGTGTACTCTCCATATCCTTAACTTTTATTTGTGTACTCTCCCTATTTCTAACTTATGTTTCTGTGTACTCTCCCTATCTCTAACTTATGTTTTTGTGTACTCTCCATATCTGTAATGTTTATTTCTGTGTACTCCACTTATCTCTAACTTATGTTTCTGTGTATTCTCCCTATCTCTAACTTATGTTACTGTGTACTCTCCCTATCTCTAACTTATGTTTGTGTGTACTCTCCATATCTGTAACGTTTATTTCTGTGTACTCTCCCTATCTCTAACTTATGTTTCTGTGTACTCTCCATATCCTTAACTTTTATTTGTATACTCTCCATATCTTTAACTTTTATTTCTGTGTACTCTACCTATCTCTAACTTTTATTTCTGTGTACTCCCCCTCTCTCTAACTTATGTTTCTGTGTACTCTCCATATCTTTAACTTTTATTTCTGTGTACTCTCCCTATCTCTAAATTATGTTTCTGTGTACTCCCCCTATCTCTAAATTATGTTACTGTGTACTCCACCTATCTCTAAATTATGTTTCTGTGTACTCTCCATATCTTTAACTTTTATTTCTGTGTACTCTCCCTATCTCTAACTTATGTTTCTGTGTACTCCCCCTATCTCTAACATATGTTTATGTGTACTCTCCCTATCTCTAACTTATGTTACTGTGTACTCTCCCTATCTCTAACTTATGTTTGTGTGTACTCTCCATATCTTTAACTTTTATTTCTGTGTACTCTCCCTATCTCTAAATTATGTTACTGTGTACTCCACCTATCTCTAACTTATGTTTCTGTGTACTCTCCATATGTTTAACTTTTATTTCTGTGTACTCTCCCTATCTCTAACTTATGTTTCTGTGTACTCCCCCATCTCTAACTTATGTTACTGTGTACTCTCCCTATCTCTAACTTATGTTACTGTGTACTCTCCCAATCTCTAACTTATGTTTCTGTGTACTCTCCATATCCTTAACTTTTATTTGTGTACTCTCCCTATCTCTAACTTATGTTTCTGTGTACTCTCCCTATCTCTAACTTATGTTTCTGTGTACTCTCCATATCTAAAACTTATGTTACTGTGTACTCTCCCTATCTCTAACTTATCCCACTGTGTACTCTCCCTATCTCTAATTTATCTCACTGTGTACTCTCCCTATCTCTAATTTATCCCATTGTGTACTCTCCCTATCTTTAACTTATCCCACTGTGTACTCTCCCTATTCTTCTCGAGAGTAACAGAAGTATCAAGGCAATCACAAGTTTACATAACTGCGCTGCCTCAGGACTTATACATCACTCGGAAGTCACTGCCTCTTCCGCCACTGACTACACAGCCAACTTCCGCACTCGCCACCATTTTACTTCAGCAACGCATGCGTAGTAGAACGTCACCTATTGCCGTAGGGTGGTCCAAACAGAGCCATGCACATCCATAACGCGATATTTCATTTTGTATGGATATTTTCGTCCATTGCCAGCGTACATTCAAGTAAGTGTTTTCTTCAGTATACAATATCATTCCCAGACCTACTTTGTTGACAACGGCCACACGATTTGCATTGTTAAAGATACATACATCCAGTACTTTTCTTAAGAAAGATTTCTTTCTGTCAGATTTCTATTTATTCTTTGAGGTACCCTTTGTTGTGTTTTTTGTAATGTCCAAGCGGAAAGAAAATGTTTTGTGCAAGATGGCCGTTGGGGTAGCTACATGATGAAGCAGAACGCTGGTGGGTAAGCTGACGGTGTAGCGCTCGGCACAGCTGGGAAGGGCACTATGACCCTGTTTCCCGTATTGTCAAGTGTGAGCGTCACTGCGGCCACTTCATTACTTTACATTTTGGACACAATATCAGTTCCTGGAATTAAAATTCCTAATCGCAGTTTCTGAGATGTCGAATGCACTTTGTAATCTCAGCAACCTTGTGTTTCATTACAACCTCGTAAATCCGACCTAATCCTTGCTTTTATAACTGTAGATCACTTCGTGAAATGAATTGGGAATTACACAGCTTTCAGTCAAGGATTATGCACAAACATGACACGATTGCAGCGTTTTGGCTTTTTCTAAATTGTGAATTTTTGCTTTTCTTTGAATAAATATAGTTTTTTATGTAATTGGTTTCAAGCGCAGATGAGGGTTGAAAATGTGTTCTAATAATACTAATGCCCCTACTTGTGGTAAGCGGTGCTACTATTTTGTTTGAGACAATTCTCATTTTGAATAGGTATGAATGCACGCTAGGCTTTGATTGCATGTTGTTGATTTCATCGAGCAATGGAAAATGTGTAATAGTTTAGTTTAACTATTATATTTGTAGCAGAGCATGCTTTTCATAATGTCAGTTTTGCAATATGTAGGGTGAACATATCCATGTGGCTGATATTCACTTTGCTAGCTTTGGTATTCAGATCCAGACACAAACATCACACGCCTGTGTCTATCATGGTATTCAGATCCAGACACAAACATCACACGCCTGTGTCTATCATGGTATTCAGGTGCAGACACAAACATCACACGCCTGTGTCTATCATGGTATTCAGATCCAGACACAAACATCACACGCCTGTGTCTATCATGGTATTCAGGTGCAGACACAAACATCACACGCCTGAGTCTATCATGGTATTCAGATCCAGACACAAACATCACACGCCTGTGTCTATCATGGTATTCAGATGCAGACACAAACATCACACGCCTGTGTCTATCATGGTATTCAGATCCAGACACAAACACAAAACGCCTGTGTCTATCATGGTATTCAGATCCAGACACAAACATCACACGTATGTGTCTATCATGGTATTCAGGTGCAGACACAAACATCACACGTATGTGTCTATCATGGTATTCAGGTGCAGACACAAACATCACACGTCTGTGTCTATCATGGTATTCAGATCCAGACACAAACACAAAACGCCTGTGTCTATCATGATATTCAGGTGCAGACACAAACATCACACGCCTGTCTCGATCGTGGTATTCAAATCCAGACACAAAACACTTGTAATTATGCCACACATACATCACGTACAGATATAGGCCATCGGCTCATGAGGATGAGTGAGTGAGTATGGTTTTACTCCGCTTTTAGCAATAATTCAGTAATATCAAGGCGGGGTGCACCAAAAATTGGCTTCACAAATTATACCCATTCGGGGAATCGAACCTTGGTTTTTGGCGTGACGAGCGTACGCTACCCCACCGCCCTTCATCGGTCCACGGTACATTATCTGATACAGTCTTCAGCTCAACCCAGTACACATTATAACACTGCGTCGAGCTTGCAGATATCGCAATAATATAAGTTTCTGAACACCCATTTCATTGTGGATAAAGGGAACTAAATTTCTTAAAAATGTTTCGTTTGAGGAAGACATGAGTGTGTTAAATTTTCCCAGTGTTTGGTGGACATAATATTTATAATATAGTACATAATTGATAATAATACATCAGTACTACCAACTTTTGACTTGACTCTAAAATCTGAAGACATGTTCATTCCTCTTTTGTACTGGATTCCATAACAATCTGTACACATAGAGACAAAGTGCTGCAGTCAGCAAATGTACCACCAGGCCCCTGTCTCAAAGATTAACTGTAATGCTAAATACAGTGAAGCTAGGATGATCAATTCTGTCAAATCATTTGATTTTTCAACTTTGTATACCACTATCCCACTCGACAATCGTAGGGAAAAACTATTCCCTGAACCATGATGACAATTGGTCAAAAATGAAAGCAAATGCTGGAGTTCCTCATTGATAAATAAGACCTATGTAAACTTTTGGGGTAAGACATTGAGGCAAGAAGTGGGCATCCCCATCTCTTTCTGTATGCATATGAATAGGTATTTCCCGCTCATATTGACAACGTGTTTGTGACGGGGGCCACGGCTGAGGCAGAGTACGTTCACCTTCTCACGAACACTTGGTTTCATTCTGAGGTGATCGTGATTCATAAACACATGCCCGTGATATAATCGGTATCGTACAATCGACTTTTGTTACAGATATGGTTAGTGTTTTGACGCTTTTATGTAAATACCTCAAAATCACGAGGAAGTATTTATAGAATCGGGACACTTCCCGAGAGAACACTTGGATGGAGGGAAGTTTACATGCACTTAGCAGCAGGGATATACGCACTAGAGAGTCGTACTAGCAGCTCAGGAAGTGTGGCGGAGTCAGCTGACCAGGTACTGCTCCACAGAGTAGTATGTCAACAAACACATGACAGGATTTCAATTCGGTCCAGGGGTAGAGGGCATTTCAGGAGCATTCAGTGTGGTGTTTCTCCAAGGAACAGGGTAATTCAGGGGGAACTCAATAGTGTGTTACTTCAGGGGTAGAGGGCATTTCAGGAGCATTCAGTGTGGTGTTTCTCCAAGGAACAGGGTAATTCAGGGGGAACTCAATAGGGTGTTACTTCAGGGGTAGAGGGCATTTCAGGAGCATTCAGTGTGGTGTTTCTCCAAGGAACAGGGTAATTCAGGGGGAACTCAATAGTGTGTTACTTCAGGGGTAGAGGGCATTTCAGGAGCATTCAGTGTGGTGTTTCTCCAAGGAACAGGGTAATTAAGGGGGAACTCAATAGGGTGTTACTTCAGGGGTAGAGGGCATTTCAGGAGCATTCAGTGTGGTGTTTCTCCAAGGAAGAGGGTAATTCAGGGGAAGCTCAATAGGGTGTTACTTCAGGGGTAGATGGCATATAAGGAGCATTCAGTGTGGTGTTTCTCCAAGGAAGATGGTAATTCAGGGGAAACTCAATAGTGTGTTACTTCAGGGGTGGAGGGCATTTCAGGAGCATCCAGTGTGGTGTTTCTCCAAGAAGAGGGTAATTCAGGGGGAACTCAATAGGGCGTTACTTCAGGGGTAGAGGGCATTTCAGGAGCATTCAGTGAGGTGTTTCTCCAAGGAAGATGGTAATTCAGGGGAAACTCAATAGTGTGTTACTTCAGGGGTGGAGGGCATTTCAGGAGCATCCAGTGTGGTGTTTCTCCAAGAAGAGGGTAATTCAGGGGGAACTCAATAGGGTGTTACTTCAGGGGTAGAGGGCATTTCAGGAGCATTCAGTGTGGTCTTTCTCCAGGGAAGAGGGTAATTCAGGGGAAGCTGAATAGGGTGTTACTTCAGGAATAGATGGCATATCAGGAGCATTCAGTGTGGTGTTTCTCCAGGGAAGAGGGTAATTCAGGGGAAACTCAATAGTGTGTTACTTCAGGGGTAGAGGGCATTTCAGGAGCATTCAGTGTGGTGTTTCTCAAGGGAAGAGGGTAATTCAGGGGAAACTCAATAGGGTGTTACCTCAGGGTTAGAGGGCATTTCAGGAGCATTCAGTGTGGTGTTTCTCCAGGGAAGAGGGTAACTCGGGGAAGGGGGAATTCGTACAGGGGTAGAGGTTATTTCGGGAGGATCTCAATACGGTGTTTCTACGCTGTCGACACGAAGATGGTCAAAACCTACCAAGACGATTGGCTTCAGTGATCAGTTTGTCTCAGTGATGTTTAAGCCAACATTTAATAGCATTGAAGAAAGATCACAACAGATGTCACTAAAGTGTCTTTCATGAATTTTACCTTCGTGGGGTATCGAACCCAGGCCTTGAGCCATACAAATATAAACACCAGGTAACCGCTTGGTTCTAGGTCACTACATGTATGTTCAGCAAAACAAAAGTAAATGTTTACCTTTCAAGAACTTTATGTGAAATAACTGTGTCTTATTAACAATATTATTATTTATAAATATCTTTAAATTGGCAAAGGTCATGCTCGATTACGAGGTCCCTAGCACGACAGCGATTGTCGAAATACTGAATGATTTCTGTTGTCCTGTATCTACTGTTATTCATGCATTGATTCTATGCCCAGTACAAACATAACATCCAAGCATGAGAAATGTTATAGGAACATCATGTGTAGCGGCATGCAACTTGCCATGTATTGAAACTACATTGAGTAAAACATATTACTTTATCAGTTACCCCCAATTACAAAAATACAACACGGTTCGGTCTCTTGGCAACATTTTCGTGCAGAGTTACACATATGAGGGGAGTAATCTGCATATGAATGCCTTGTTAGTTCTTATCGTCATCAAGGCTAGATAAGACAGTCTTGATTTTTCAAATGCACTTCTCCTCTGTCAATCCCAACACAACATTTCTAACTGACAGTGTGTGCGAGGCGTCCAGTGACAGTGCAACCTATTGGGGTTCCATCATGGTTTAATAAACAAATAAATACATGAAGCAGCACCATTCCACTTCCTTGATATGTTTCCAAAGTACAAACATGCTTATGTATGAACACACGCAACAGATACCAACGTGTAGATACACTAGACATCCAGATGAAGGTAAACGGCTAGACAAACGCTTAGTCCCCGAAAATATATGATGTTGATAGAAACAAATAACCCCATTTAAATTGAAAAGGAGCCCCAGTGTGATGGGAGAAGCTGTTGAAAATCTAAACT